GGAGAACTCTCCACTACTTAAGTTTGTGCAGTTCTGGTCTCTCCATAGCAGCATGGGGCCGAACTCTGGCCAGCGCAACAGCATCATAGCTGAGACTCGCGTCGCACACCCCTTAGGTGTAGATGCACTCGCTGTATCTCTTACTGCGCGATCCGTCTCACTGCTGAGTCACGGCTGCCCCGTATACTGGCGCAGCAGTGAAGCAGACTGCCCATAAGGTCTCCTTTGACGCAAATGTGAAAAGGATCACCGCTTTCTGCAGATGTAATGTTGATTGGGCCCCTTTTGTCGGTGGCGGGGGGACTTTTTAGCTTGTTGAAGTCCTGGACTCTGTTCAGCTGCACATTGAACTCACCGTGCAAACATCCCGTCAATGAGCCGGCATGATATGGCATGATTCCGCTCAATACTCAGAAACCGCTAATCGTTAAAGTGGTTGGGTACGAGTATTGGGAGGCCCGAGAGCCCGTGCGAGTGCCTCGGATTCACGCTTAATGTTGGACTCGCTTTAGTGCGCAGGGGCCCCCCCCCCCCCCACCCCCCCAAACAATTTTGGGGTTTTCGGGGAGCCTGAATAGTGTGGGGTGGGGCTGGGACGGGACTGGGGGTAGGGCGGCTAGGGGTCGAGGGTTGAGGGGAAGCCTTGAAGCTTGAGGGTCTAAGCTTTCCAGGCTTTGTAGCTCCACGGTCGCCGGGGGCTCCGCATAAATGCGGACCACCGAAACAACTTGCTAAAGCGAATGGCTACTCCCTTGGAAAATTGTTTGGGGGCCCGTTTCGTAGTGAAATTTTAAACGGAATTTAAATAAGGCTGGACACCAAAAAACTCGGAGTTTCTTATTCAAAGCTTTTTTAGTTTTTGGCTCCCCGGCCCCCCGCCCTTCAACCCCGGCCGGGCAAACATCGCATAATTGAGGACCACCCTAAACAATGGGGGGTCCCCTACAGTATAGGATTTCCGGAACATCGCATAATAGTGCCCCTTCTCACTTAAAGCGAGTGCAACATTACGATGGGGTGGTGCAAATAGGTGTACGCCATCCGACAGTATCAGTATCCAAAGCAGGAAACTGCCGCGTGGCTACTTGATTGGGCTCTGAGCCGGTGCTACGACATGCTACGTACTCATCTGAAAGGTAGGGCCATGAGTTGTCAAAGGCAAGCGGAGAAGTCAGGTCCGAAAACTACCTGAGCCAAGCCCCATCGGAAATAGAGAATCGCTTGAGGAGCCAACAAAGTGCCTGGTAGCCAATTAAAAACCATCACCACTCACTGCTAAGGGTTGTTCCGTTTCGTTTGTCGTCAACTGCCCCTCGTTGGCATCAGGTCAACACAACATGCGCTGTCCTGCACCTCAGCAGCAGGAGTTCTTCTTCCGAGTGCGACCTTCAAGTCTGAACACACAATCTGCCATCTACCGAACCCTATGCGGATGAAGCTCGCATACAGCATGTTAGACCTCTGGAAAGTCTCCTCGACTCGTACAATTTGCATGACTTTCACGAAGCGAGCCTGCCCGCGCCACGGGATAGTATCCACGTTGGACCAAGGAGTTCATAGCGCCATGTCCGTAATAGCCTCCTGCAATGGGCGACTCACAATCCCAACGAGTTGCTGCAGGGTTGCACTCGGAAGCTCTGTGATTAGCAAGCAAACAGTAACAGTACAAACCTGTGCTACCCCTCGTCTGACACTCTATACTGCTCGCGCCTGGTGCGTAGCCAGGATGAATGTTGGGGCCTCGGCAACTTGTGTAGCAGTGGGCATATCCGCCACCAGGGTGCCTGGATTTGCCTGGGGCATGGGCCCTTGCCATACTGCCCAGGTTGCTGCGGATGCCTCGTGTGCGTGTGGCACTTCGGCCCCCCCGAAAAGCATCCGTCAAACACTCAGAATAGCTACAGCTCGAGACAGATAGAACCCTCTGAGTCCCCAGCCCAGCACGAGCTCCGGCCCCGGTGTGGAATGGGTTCACACCATAGCCTAGCGCGGCAGGGCTTTGAGAAAAGTGTGGTGCATCTAGGGAATCTATCGTAAGCCCTAAACCCCAAACCCCCAAAACAACCCTAAACATCCCCAAGCCGAACCCGGATCCGCCTCCATAAGTCCCCGAGCTTTGTCCTGCACTCAGTGCCATTAGGGTCATACGTATGGTCTAGGGTTATAGGCTTTGTCCTGCACTCAGCACCATTAGGGTTATATGGTTTAGGGTTGACGGTCTGGGGGCTCGGGGATCGAATTCAAGTGTCTCGTACCATGCAGGCATGGAATCGCCTGCAATGTTTTGGATCGATTGCTTCGTTTGGGGCTCAAGGTTTAGGGTGAGAGCCTGAAACCTATGAAACCCTCAAACTCTAAATCCATGTCCTTCTGCCATGGGAGTAGGAAAGGGTGCCCCCCTCGACGAGGTCGCCGTCGGAATGGGGCCCATGCCAAGGGGCGTGTAGCCCTCCATCGGACCGTACATTCCCTGCGGCCGGGAGGGGCCGTTTCTTTGGGAGATGCTTAGAGGCGCAGAGTTTGAGGTTGGTTCAGGTTGACGGTTTGGAGTTTCGGGCTAAGCGGCATCAATCAGATACGCTGATGGTGCTAAGAGAGCGTAGCAGCGACAATCAAGAAAACTACAGGCAGATCCTACACCAAATCTGGATTTCTATTGGAAAAGCAGCAGCGCACGAACCACCCGAACTGTAATGGGGGTTCTTTGCACCTGTAGTTTCGCCTGTCTTTTTCTTGGAGCAATCATAACCTTCGTTTCTCAATCTTCAAACTGAAGACCGAACGAAGAGAAAGATGCAGGAAAGGATTTCTGGGTTTTCACGCTCTTATTTCTGGCCTGACCACACACAACACGACATTCCAGTTTCTACGCCCATGGCATTCCACTCAGTAGACAAGCTCGGCATACGTACCGTCTGGATGGTGTGTTCAGGGTGCATTGGGCGGCTGCGCGCCAATCATTCTCAGAGTTCGGCCACCCAACTTCTCACATCCTGCCTCTCATCTCACTGCCAGGCACGCGTGTCTTCATTCTACGTTTAATTGACTTGTGGTATCTTCGCACCTTCCTTCGACAACTTCCCTCCCTCACCGGTAACACGAGCACTCTTTCCTGTCCTCAGGCACCAATTGAGCAGATGGCCTGCGGAGGAGGGAAGCTGCCATATGGAGGTCCTAAGCTTGCCAAAAGCTGCTGACATTGCATCCCCTCTTGGTACATCCTTGAGAAAAACATGTAGCACAAGCCCTGCAGCACCGGTCATAGTGGCTTCGGGCTTTTGATCGAGTAAAGACGGCATTGCGCTGTGAACATGACGTTTGCAGGTCCTCCATATAATCGTAATGGACACGATTCCCACTTCACCAATCCGGAAGCAAGGTGAGGCAAATGTCACTGTGTCCAATACCCGTCATAGACCTCTGAGCCTTCTCTACACGAGTAACGAGTAGGGGTGCACAGTTGTTGATCCAAAAGTCAATACCGCCAGGCTCCAACGGTGTCCTGCGCGCACCGGTTCTACCAGCGACGCAGTCAACCCCTTTTGTGCGCCGAACGTGCGCTGTGTCGATAACGTGCTTTTGTTGCGCAAACGACGCCATTTCTACAGACGGCGGGCCGTGAGTCAGCCGAAGCTGAGTTGCCGTTTGCGCATGGAAGCGTGTCGAAAGAGCGCTCCATTGGAGTGTTGCAGGAAGAAGAGAGGTATACGGCTCAGTTGCGCGGATGCCGCCAAGAAGCCCTCTGGAACTTTGTCACAGCAAGAGCACGATGATCGCTCACTTCTCTTGACAGTTCCTGAGCATGCGAGGCAGGAGCTTTTTTGCAGACCACACAAACGCCTCCAATCCCATATGGGACGGCATCCGAGATAAACGTCACAGGGCCGTTCGTAGACTTCTTTACTCAGCAAAGGCAGCTCCAGCCCCAGTCCGACAAGGCTGATTGCACTCAAAGTTGCCATAAGGCAGCTGCCGCATGCGCATGTCCTCTCAAGTCTCATGATCTGCCCAAGTGCTTAAAGACTGACATGCGTGGGGTCCAAAGCACACGAACGCACCCCCCCAAGCCCCGATGCACACAAACCAGCACCACCCTCACACACTCGCATCTTCCCGTCAGTCAAGCACACAAACACACACACACACACACACACACACACACACACACATATACACATATACACATATACACATATACACACACACACAACAGAACTAGCGACGCTCAACGGTTTCAGGTCGAAGGCTAATGGGGCGACCCGGTGTGTCTGGGCATCGGGATTCTTAATTGAAATCGCCGTTCGCTCATGTTCTCCTTCAGTTCATTCACAGATCCTGCGCTAGCGGCTAGGGAGCCCACAAATCTTGACATGCAGCTTGTGTCTCCAAAATCTGCCGCATCCTGCTCTGAGTACATGGTGGACACGCGCAGGGAAGGGCTCAGAGAAGCTGATACGCCGCGGTGCTGAGCCAAGAGGGAGCCGAAGTCACTCAGTCACTCTGCACCCGTAACTCAAAACTCTTGCGCGGAGACCTGCCACCTCTAGCCGCGAGCATGAGTTCGAAGCAGGGAGGACTGGTTACAGTCCCTGCACCAAACTAAACTACGAGCTACTCTCTGGGAGCGTTACAGGCTCACGGACTAAGGGTCCACTACTTACTTGAGTTGTCACTTCGGGAACCCATGTCATTTCAGTCCGTTCAGTACACGAAATTTGGCCTGTGAATCGGAGCGAAAGCGTCCTTCCTCAAACTTATTCCGCATCGGATGCCGCGGATTTCAAAGTCTCAGCTGTCCCAAAATATGATCCCCAGCAACTTGCGTCAACACTTTCTTATTTGGACGTGATTATAATCTATTTCAAGACTACGACAAATCACCTTAGGAGCAAGTAAATTTTTGTTATCTATAATTTAAAGGCTACTGTAGTTGGAAATGAAGATGCTGTATTATCTAGAATACACTGGTGTAGTGGAAAACGCTTTTTGTGCAATGCTGCTCACATGGCGAATTCGCTGGGCGAGCGCCAGGGTAGAGATCCGGGAAATATATCTGGACCACACCACTCCAAGAGCGGCCTGATTTCTGGACCTCAGCGACCAGGTGACAGCGGGCACAGGAGAGCACGGTACGAGTCGTAACAGGTATATATATATATAGATACATATACATGAGATATGCAAAGAGAGATCTGTAGATACATATGTACATAAACATTTTATGTACATGGGAACATCTATGTACCCACATATCTATGTGTATATATATGTACACATATATTGTGTATTTATATTGATGTTTATATAAGGGGCCGCATCGGCTACTCCGAGAGCCCGACACCATAAGCATGCTTGCGACTTTTTTGCAGCAAGGAGTACACCATTGAGGAGGATAGCTGCTGACACTTGTACCAAGTGGCACGATAGGAGATAGGGGGTAGTCCGCTGGAACCTGGGCGGACGAGTCAGCGAGCCAACTGACCTTAACCACCCCTGATGCGTTTTTGCTGGATCCTTACCTCAAGCTAGAGGCTCTAGAGAAAACTTCCGCCATCCTTCTTGATCCAAGCAGCGGGTTTCTAGCCTGCCTCTTCTCCACCAAGACTTGTGAGTGGCAGCCGTAGGGGTCGGACTGGAAAAGCTTTGCAGCCCTGGGCGCGCAGCAAATCTCAGTTTGCAAGCAGCCCTTCAACATCTTCAAATTTTATCAGCACATCATCATTGACCGCCCGAGCATCCCTGAGCGTGCCAAAGGCAACATTTCGGCTGGGTTGCTTTCTGGGAGACCCTCTGTTTACTAAGAGCCAGGTTGAAGACGAGTCTCTCCTGCTCTCCAGCTTCTGCCTTCACCAGATCAAAGCGAGATCCAGCGGGAGGTTGGATGCCGATGTAGGAAAATCTGCAAAAGCACGGCCAAGAACAAACAGTGTCTCTGTACGTAGCTGAAGAATGATTTCACAGGAAAGTCATGAGAACACGGCAGTGTGACAGCATCAACCCTCATCATTGACGCACACATCCGAGCTCGCAAACAGTACTTGGTGCTTATTCTGTCAAGGTATTGCTTCAAGTCCATTTTCTTTCTGACTGAAAGCCACAATGGATCCAGTAGGGTTTAGAGCCTGGGGCTAAAGCTTACATTCTCATAGGGTTCAAGCCGATCAAGCAGGTTTTCCGACTCCATGGCACAAAGATGCTCCAGACCTACAGCTTCCGAATGCCAGAACATAGCATCCTGGCTTATAGGGCTAGGCACTAGGCAAGCGACGCCTTCAGAATCCTCGCGGAAATCCCCCAAGACCCTGGCACGGACTTGGGTCCTTAAAGAGTGTACGTATACAGTTATTCATGTTTACAAATACGCCACTGAGTCCAGGACCTGGCACCCAAAAAGCGGAGGGCTCCACGGTGCAGCTCGGAAAAGCGGTGCCTTGGTTGGTGAGGCTTCTACGGGGGCATTGCGCAAGGGGTTTTTGTGTCATTTCTGGGTTTTCTTCCGAGGGCTTCTGGGGCTTTTGTGGCTCTTGGGTTTATGATACGCAGGCCTTCTGGCTCCTGGTTTGGGTGTGTTTTGGCTTTGTGAAGGATAGGACCGCTTCCATGCTGGGAGGTTGTTTGCTATGTGTGAGTCGCTCTCAAAGCTTACGTCTCAGCTGTTCAGTGTTGATGGATGAAGGAGTCCAGGTGACTTCTTGAAGGTGAAACTCACGACTGTGATCTTGTCAGGGTAGTGGCCCACAACCTCTCGAAACCGACAAAGGGAGAACAGAACGTTCTGGAAGGAATCCAAGGCAAACTCCTCAGTGACAGTGCGTTGGGCCACTGGCAGATATGTGGAAGTGCGCTGTGAGCGCTGCTGGGCCTCCGTCCAAAGATCAGGACGGCTTGTGGTCTCGCCCCACCAGTCGAAATACTCGGCCACCCGGTAGTAGCTCCAGCCTTCGTCGCGGGGCCCCGCAGCTGCGCGTGTCTGGCCACCGGAGAAGATGAGCAAAGCTTTCGGGTCCAAAGCAGCCGCCTCGACACCTGCCTAACAAGTCAAAACTAAGGAACCAAGGGGCTTGGATGGGCTTTCGACATCGATTCGTCTGTTTGCTGGGGCCGCTATAGTATTATGTACGTAGGACCTTTCTGCTCTATTTGGCTTTGCTCTCTGCCTGACTAACTTTTCAGGATTTTCAGGTTGTTTTAAGGATTTTGAGGATTTTAAGGCCTTCTTAAAATTTTAGAAAAGCCTTAAAATCTTTAAAATCCTTAAAATTTTAGGAAATCCATTTCCTAAAACTTTAAGGATTTTAAGGCCTTTTTAAAAATTTAAGAAGGCCTTAAAATCCTTAAAACCCTTAAAATTTTAGGAAATCCATTTCCTAAAACTTTAAGGATTTTAAGGCCTTTTTAAAAATTTAAGAAGGCCTTAAAATCCTTAAAATCCTTAAAATGTTAGGAAATCCATTTCCTAAAACTTTAAGGATTTTAAGGCCTTTTTAAAATTTTAAGAAGGCCTTAAAATCCTTAAAATCCTTAAAGTTTTTGGAAAATCCATTTCCAAAATTTATAAAGATTTTAAGGATTTAAAGATTTTAAAGGGGTCCCGGGGGCCCAGGGGCGCCGGGCCCCGTTTTAAAATCTTTAAAATCCTTAAAATTTTAGGAAATCCATTTCCTAAAACTTTAAGGATTTTAAGGCCTTTTTAAAAATTTAAGAAGGCCTTAAAATCCTTAAAATCCTTAAAATGTTAGGAAATCCATTTCCTAAAACTTTAAGGATTTTAAGGCCTTTTTAAAATTTTAAGAAGGCCTTAAAATCCTTAACATCCTTAAAGTTTTTGGAAAATCCATTTCCAAAATTTTCCAAGATTTTAAGGATTTTAAGGATTTTAAAGATTTTAAAGGGGTCCCGGGGGCCCAGGGGCGCCGGGCCCCCTTTTAAAATCTTTAAAATCCTTAAAATCTTTAAAATACTTAAAATTTTAGGAAATCCATTTCCTAAAACTTTAAGGATTTTAAGGCCTTTTTAATTTTTAAGAAGGCCTTTAAATCCTTAAAATCCTTAAAATTTTAGGAAATCCATTTCCTAAAACTTTAAGGATTTTAAGGCCTTTTTAAAATTTTAAGAAGGCCTTAAAATCCTTAAAATCCTTAAAGTTTTTGGAAAATCCGTTTCCAAAATTTTTAAAGATTTTAAGGATTTTAAGGATTTTAAAGATTTTAAAGGGGTCCCGGGGGCCCAGGGGCGCCGGGCCCCCTTTTAAAATCTTTGAAATCCTTAAAATCTTTAAAATCCTGAAAATTTTAGGAAATCCATTTCCTAAAACTTTAAGGATTTTAAGGCCTTTTTAAAATTTTAAGAAGGCCTTAAAATCCTTAAAATCCTTAAAATTTTAGGAAATCCATTTCCTAAAACTTTAAGGATTTTAAGGCCTTTTTAAAATTTTAAGAAGGCCTTAAAATCCTTAAAATCCTTAAAGTTTTTGGAAAATCCATTTCCAAAATTTTGAAGATTTTAAGGATTTTAAGGATTTTAAAGATTTTAAAGGGGTCCCGGGGGCCCAGGGGCGCCGGGCCCCCTTTTAAAATCTTTAAAATCCTTAAAATCTTTAAAATCCTTAAAATTTTAGGAAATCCATTTCCTAAAACTTTAAGGATTTTAAGGCCTTTTTAAAATTTTAAGAAGGCCTTAAAATCTTTAAAATCCTTAAAATTTTAGGAAATCCATTTCCTAAAACTTTAAGGATTTTAAGGCCTTTTTAAAATTTTAAGAAGGCCTTAAAATCCTTAAAATCCTTAAAGTTTTTGGAAAATCCATTTCCAAAATTTTGAAAGATTTTAAGGATTTTAAGGATTTTAAATATTTTAAAGTGGTCCCGGGGGCCCAGGGGCGCCGGGCCCCCTTTTAAAATCTTTAAAATCCTTAAAATCTTTACAATCCTTAAAATTTTAGGAAATCCATTTCCTAAAACTTTAAGGATTTTAAGGCCTTTTTAAAAATTTAAGAAGGCCTTAAAATCCTTAAAATCCTTAAAATTTTAGGAAATCCATTTCCTAAAACTTTAAGGATTTTAAGGCCTTTTTAAAATTTTAAGAAGGCCTTAAAATCCTTAAAATCCTTAAAGTTTTTGGAAAATCCATTTCCAAAATTTTTAAAGATTTTAAGGATTTTAAGGATTTTAAAGATTTTAAAGGGGTCCCGGGGGCCCAGGGGCGCCGGGCCCCCTTTTTAAAATCTTTAAAATCCTTAAAATCTTTAAAATCCTTAAAATTTTAGGAAATCCATTTCCTAAAACTTTAAGGATTTTAAGGCCTTTTTAAAAATTTAAGAAGGCCTTAAAATCCTTAAAAGCCTTAAAATTTTAGGAAATCCATTTCCTAAAACTTTAAGGATTTTAAGGCCTTTTTAAAATTTTAAGAAGGCCTTAAAATCCTTAAAATCCTTAAAGTTTTTGGAAAATCCATTTCCAAAATTTTGAAAGATTTTAAGGATTTTAAGGATTTTAAAGATTTTAAAGGGGTCCCGGGGGCCCAGGGGCGCCGGGCCCCCTTTTAAAGTTTTTAAAATCCTTAAAATCTTTAAAATCCTTAAAATTTTAGGAAATCCATTTCCTAAAACTTTAAGGATTTTAAGGCCTTTTTAAAAATTTTAAGAAGGCCTTAAAATCCTTAAAATCCTTAAAATTTTAGGAAATCCATTTCCTAAAACTTTAAGGATTTTAAGGCCTTTTTAAAATTTTAAGAAGGCCTTAAAATCCTTAAAATCCTTAAAGTTTTTGGAAAATCCGTTTCCAAAATTTTGAAGATTTTAAGGATTTTAAAGATTTTAAAGGGGTCCCGGGGGCCCAGGGGCGCCGGGCCCCCTTTTAAAATCTTTAAAATCCTTAAAATCTTTAAAATCCTTAAAATTTTAGGAAATCCATTTCCTAAAGCTTTAAGGATTTTAAGGCCTTTTTAAAATTTTAAGAAGGCCTTAAAATCCTTAAAATCCTTAAAGTTTTTGGAAAATCCATTTCCAAAATTTTTAAAGATTTTAAGGATTTTAAGGATTTTAAAGATTTTAAAGGGGTCCCGGGGGCCCAGGGGCGCCGGGCCACCTTTTAAATTTTTTAAAATCCTTAAAATCCTTCAAATTTTAGGAAACACATTTCCTAAAACTTTAAGGATTTTAAGGCCTTTTTAAAATTTTAAGAAGGCCTTAAAATCCGTAAATCCTTAAAATTTTAGGAAATCCATTTCCTAAAACTTTAAAGATTTTAAGGCCTTTTTAAAATTTTAAGAAGGCCTTAAAATTCTTAAAATCCTTAAAGTTTTTGGAAAATCCATTTCCAAAATTTTTTTTAAAGATTTTAAGGATTTTAAGGATTTTCAAGATTTTAAAAGGGTCCCGGGGGCCCAGGGGCGCCGGCCCCCTTTTAAAATCTTTAAAATCCTTAAAATTTTAGGAAATCCATTTCCTAAAACTTTAAGGATTTTAAGGCCTTTATACAATTTTCAGAAAGCCTTAAAATCCTTAAAGTCCTTAAAGTTTTGGGTATCGGGAGGAGGCCCAGGCTCGTCATTTAGTATTGGGTGGAGGCCCAAACTCGTTAATTTGGTATTGGGAGGAGGCCCGGGCTCGTAATTTAGTATTGGGTGGAGGCCCAGGCTCGTAATTTAGTATTGGGAGGAGGCCCGGGCTCGTATTTAGTATTAGGGGGAGGCCCCGCCTCGTAATTTAGTATTAGGGGGAGGCCCGGGCTCGTAATTGAGCATTGGGGGGAGGCCCGGGCTCGTAATTTAGTATTGTGGGTGGTTCGAATAATTTGAATGATTTTAAGGCCTTTTCAAGATCTTTAAAATGTTCAAAATTCCTTAAAATCCTTCAAGTTTTTGGAAAATCCATTTCCAAAAAAATTTGATATTTTTAAAGGTTTTAAGGATTTTAAGGATTTTAAAGATTTTAAAGGGGTCTGGGCGCTTAAGCGCCTACCCCTTAAACCTTAAACCCTAATTCCTAAGGTCCTCAGCTCCTAAGCGCCTAAACTCCTAAGCGCCTACCCCCTAAATCCTCTAACCCGAAACCCTTAAATACTAAACCCTAAGCTCCTAAGCTCCTAAGCGCCTACCTCCTACATCCTCTAACCCGAAACCCTTAAACCCTAAACCCTAAGCTCCTAAGCGCCTAAGCTCCTAAGCGCCTACCCCCTAAATCCTCAAACCCTAAACCAATAACCATAAACTCCTAGCGCCTACCCCCTAGACCCTTAAACCTTACACCCTAAACCCTAAGCTCCTAAGCTCCTAAGCGCCTAGGCGCCTACCCCCTAAAACCTTAAACCCTGATTCCTAAGCTCCTAAGCGCCGAAGCGCGTACCCCCTAAATCCTCAAAACCTAAACCCTTAAACCCTAAACCCTAAGCTCCTAAGCTCCTAAGCGTCTAAGCGCCTGCCCCCCTAAACCCTTCAACCCTAAACTATAAACTCCTAAGCTCCTGAGCGCCTAAGCGCCTACCCCCTAAACCCTTAAACCTTAAACCCTAAAACCCAGGCTCCTAAGCTCCTAAGCGCCCAGGCGCCTACCCCCTAATCCCTTAAACCCGAAAAAACCCTAAACCTCTTAAGCTCCTGAGCGCCTAAACCCTAAACCCTAAACCCTAAGCTCCTAAGCTCCTAAGCGCCTAAGCGCCTACCCCCTAAACCCTGAGACCCCGGGACCCCTTTTATCATTGAAAAATCCTTGCCTTCTTCTCTGCTGATTTTTTTTGAAGTTTAAGGATTATACGGCTTTTAGTATTTGAATGGATCTTTCGTTTTTGAGGTTCGGGGCACGCTATGGTTTACCAATGACCTTTGCTAGGGTTTGCAAAAAACTTCGTTTTAAAGTAACGGGCACGCCAGGGTTTACAGAAAACCTTTCCATTGTGATTAATTTGGTGTTTTAAGCAAATTGTGCAAGCGTACGTCTGCTATAGGATTGTTTGAGTTATTGCTCTTGCCAGTCTTCGAGGGGTCAAAACGTTCTGGGTCTGAAGGCTGGGCCCCTCGAGAGGTCAAAAAGTTC